ATGGACGTGGGGTTCCCAATTTTAATTAAAGATTTCGGGTGATACTAGATCGAAAAATATTCGACTCCTGGCCGAAGGTTGTTGCCTATTCCCCATAGGAGACGAAAAATTGGTTGTAAAATTCTAACATTTTTTATATTATAATTTTCGTCTTGAAAATCGATTCAGATTCGTTTTTCGGGTCATATAAAACCCTTAAATACGATTTGAATTTTTAAATTAAAAATAATATAAATTTTGGTAGTTAGTTTTGTGGGAATTTTTTTTTCATACCATTTACTAAACCATCCACCATTTTCTACTAGTAATATTACAACCTTCCAATAGTAATATGGTGGGGAGTAGAATTATAAGTTAAGTAAATTTAATTATAAGTTTTGTGTTCGAGAGGCGGAAAGCGAATATAAACTTTATTTATCCTTGAAAAATATGTAAGTGGAAATATTGCTTGTCCAAATCACATCAATAACTTTTAGATTATATCTATTTTTTATAAAAACATATTTAACAAATAGAAACAAATAAAGAAAAACTTATTATTTTTTACTTCCACTTAGCCTATATATGTAATATATAGTAAGGGAAAGTATTGAGATTGTGAAAATTTTTGAATCTGAGTTTTCAACGGAAATACACATCTTGAGGTACCCTGAGTCCAAATAACCAAGTCCCACAAAATGGTATGTGTGTCTGTGTTGTTGTTGCTCAAAATTATTCTTGGTATTGCACTTTGCATTTTGATTTTGATTGCTCACCGTCGATATAATAAATAGCCTTTTTGCAATTTTAAAGGTCTTAATGATCTGTAAGCTTTAAGCTATAGCTCCGTTTAAAATGCATTTCAAACATTTTATAATAGCCCAACATTTTCAGAAAATAATTTCTATTCAAAGTATAGCGGTAAGTGAAAGTTGTGTGTCGGGCGCACCAGATTTTTTTTTTATTCTACTCCTAAATTGTTCATGAGAGTCTCGTATATTCCAGTTCGTTCAGTTTATAGGACCCTAAATCTTTAATGGTTAGTGTATATAGGTGGTGTCATGTTGAACTAATTTATATTTTTGTAATTTCGCTTTCTAATAACAGTTCTTATAAGACCCATCCGTGTTTATAGCTTTGTTCTAAATATTTGGTCATCCATAATATCTAGAATAAAGCTATACAACCAGATGGATCTCATTAGAACTATTAATAAGAGGTATAATATTGGGAAACATTTTTCATATTTACATAGCAATGAAGATTCTTATTTTTGTTCTTCGGGAGGCGGAAAACGAATATAAACTTTATTTATCATTGAAAAATATTTGATGAGGTTCGGAGGTGTATTTCATGAATAATAAATACAATAAAAGCATTATTCTTATTTAGTTGTGTTTTTTTTTTAATTTACACAAATAACAAATCTATTGATTTACAATATTAAAACTTTGAAATCCATGCAAAGCAAAGGCAAAAATCGATAATATAAAAAAAATGTTTAAAAATAAATAAAAAAAGAAAAGAAATTAAAATAAAAAATTAGAGCTACCTGCCCAAGGCTTCAAAAAATGAAGAATGAGTTTCTAGAGTAAACGGAAGTTGTATTTAGGTTTCTTAATTAAATTACTCTCCAAAGACCTTTTACAAATATTTAGACATAAAATGAAAAAATATACCAATAGAGGATAAATAAAGTAATTCAATGGATGCATTTAAGATGACAGATTTCTTATTTCTTTCTTAACCGTTAATAGAAAATTTATTAGAAATCAGCCTTTACTTAGCAACAAATAAAATAAAATAATAGGAACATTAATAAAATCAAAGTTCAAATGTCACTAAATATGTTTGTTTATGTCACAATATTTATTTAAAATGGCTTTATAGGTACATAAGTTGTATAGTATTGTTTATTTTATTGAGTGTTAATTTTAGAATCAATCTATAATAATGTGTGAAACTAAATTGCTGCATATACACTGCTGATAAGTTAAGGTTTTATGAATTCGGTTTTACTTAGACCATCGTTTATGTCATTAAAAATTTGCACTCTATTTTTTTCTAAATGTTTACATAAATACATTTACATAAACTGCATAATTGGTCGTTAAATTAAATGAGTTGAATGTTGCATTACAAATGCACAGACATGCATGTTGCATAATGCATTAGAGTTCCCTGGTTTTCAACTAAGTCCATTGTCACCAAAAGCGTACAAAAAATGCGCTTTCATCAATTTGTTTTAATATGAAGTCTTTATTTAAAAAACCACCATACTATCGGAATGCTTTGGAGTTATAATATCCGTATATTCGTCTCGGAAGTTACAATAATAAAATATAATAGAATTTAATAACAATTTGTTTTCTCTTATATTCGCCACTACCCTCTTTTCGAGAAACGTACTAGCTTTAAGATAAATTATTGTTTAAGATTGATATGATACAAACTTATTTTCATAGATTTGCTCCTGTTTACTGAACGTATTTTATAAATTTAGAATACCATAGATATCTTGTGCATTAGAAGGATAATACTGAGTTTTTCCTAATTATAAATCAGATTCCTTTTCACATATGCTGTGAATAAATGACGTAACTGCAAATCATACAATTTTATTGGAGAGCAAAAATAGTTAGAATTCTTATGATAATGGTTACTATTATTATATATATTGTCTAATTATTGTTACTGACTAAAATCTGAAAATGAATTTTCTAAGTAGTTTTGATCTATAAAAGTTTCTGTTTCGGGTTACAACCTTTTGCTTGTGATCGTTTGATGCACGAGCAACGTAAAGTTTAAAGCTTTTTTTATCTTTTCAATTTGGTCAACGATGGTCGATTGGCTAACTGAGAGTTTCTTTGCAACTTCTTAAACGATTTTTCTGAGATTTTCTTCGACTAAATATCTCAGAACATCGTCCTTCCACGACCACCATTTCTTCAAATCTGATGACTCCCTGTACACAATTTTTAAATCTTCATTGAATATTATACTTACTCACACTGCCATCACCCCACATTAATATTACTGGCCCTTTGGGACCCGTAACGACCGAGTTTAAACTCGTAGAACGAAATTATTTTGATAAAATCTTGGATTGACATCTTAGTAAAGATTGGTTTGAATGTATACATAAAACCATAACACCAAATACTCTTGATTGTACAAGTATGTACTATTTTTTCCTTCCAATAAAAATCGTTTGGGAAAAAAAGTCGATTAATTAATTATTTTTTAGTATGTATATCATACTAAAAAATAATTTCTAAAATGTATACAGTCTGTTAGGTAGAGTGTTTATATAAAGACAACGAGAAACTCAGCATTATTTTCCGAAAATCTAACACATAAATAATTCCTGTACAACTCGATGTTTAAAATTGATTTTAGCTAATTTCTAAACTTTGTATCCATTAAAATTTTACTTATATTGCAATTACTAAGATGTAAATACGAATTTACGAGTCTTTATAACAATTTAATGTGATACAATGTTTTTTTCCGAAATACTGAAGGTGCGTCGTTGTTTCATTGGATGAACGATATATTCATATCTTATTGGTGTCCTCTTATATACGTTGACATTTCATTCGATACAATGATATAGATCTCCTTCCTTGGAGAATGATAGTTTCAAAGTTGTTTTTCTTCCGTATTAAACTTACATTAGCGAAAGAGGGTAGGCCTCTGGATTACATAAGACAACGGAAGAAGAGGGTATAGGACGTGGCAGAGGGATGTTGCTCTGGAATTGGCAATGTATACTGGAGCGACCCGCCCTGGAACTCCATACATTACCGCAGACTTCTTACAGAATCAATTCCAGAGGAAATTGGGGTCTTGGTCTGCTGGAGTGCCTGTCTTTTCTGTTTCATCTTTCATCCTTATTGGCCTCCATTCTTCCCTCTGTCTCACTCCCGCACCAATGGCGCGCGAGGTTCAGATTTCTTAACGTACATCTTTGTTTATCAACTGTTTGTTTTAGCTAACGCCTCATAAAACGATTTATTTAATATATGTGGACTGGTTTAATTATTAAGAGAAATAAAGACTAAAAGAAATAGGGGAACGTTAAAAAATAATTGCTTGTCGACTAGACAAATTAAAAAAAAGAAATAAAATTATTAAAATATATATTGGACCTTTTGTAAAGATTGGGATTTATCTAAAACGTTTACCAGGAAACAAGTTAAACAAAAAAGTTAACCCTGAACGTTTCGCTTGAAAATAATTATTAGAAAATCATATGTAAACGAGACATCTGAACAGAATATAGTAACAATAAATAAAAATGTGTAAAATCGATGTAACAAAGAGCTAGCTGGAGTCAGTCGATTTCGGTGGAAACATTGCTATTTTGTAAAATGCATACAGGCTCAAACTTATATAATTGAACATTTTGTTGCACACAATGCTACAACGCTATAAAATAATGAACAAAGCAAAAATAATTCATATGATAGGGCCTGATTATAATTTGAAAATTTCGTAGAAATGTTAACATACTCGTATTCACAACTTATCCTGAAAGTAAGTTGAAAATAATTTTGACATGTGATTTTTTTTTTCAACAAATGAAAAATAATGAGGTTTATTTTATGATAACATGAATACTTAAATTGAGTATAAGCTATAAAAGTAATTCACCCACTGAGATATAACAATAAATTCTAATTATGGTAATATACAAGACTATAAATTACTCAAAAAGACGTATGCTGAAATTAATTTAGATGGTGTTTTCGGCTTATTAAATTAACAAAATTAGACTCCGTTTATATGGTTATAGAGTACATTCGTCAGTATAAGCTCTATTTGAATAATTACTGTACAGCATTAAAGAGGATTCACGTTACACAATTCTCTGAATAACCCTAGCTAGCAATAGCAGCTCAATTATTGGAAATCTTATCCGACCTCAATGACTGACTTGGCATATAGTCCTAGTCAAATATAGATCCGCTCCAAGGATTAGATAGGCCTCAAACGATGCTATTGAACAATAATAGAAGTTATTGGGGATGTAGAACAGCCATAACTGTGTTCCTAACTTGTTGGGCATCGGTAATGGCCTGGAGATATCAGAGCAATTGAGCGGGCTATCAACGCATCTCTGCCAAAGGACTAGAGGATGAGCTCTTCAGGGTCCCTTCTTACGCTATCTATGGTAAAGGTTTCTGCTAGGAACCAGAGTCGATTACTGGGTCTTACACTTTTTTCTGCGGACAGAGTTATACATTTAATACTCCAGTAAGCTTATAAAAGGAAGTATTCCTTGAATTTAATAATAACAGGATCTTATAGTTTTGAATCATTTCTGATTTACATCTTACATTAGCTTAAGAGGAAAATAGTTTTCTTCACGGTCATTTAAAATCCTATTCCAGATTTTTTGTTGGCATTATAGACCTTAAAGATTTTCAGCCACCTCAACCTACCTTCTCCGTCTCTGAATATTTTGAGCTATAATTTTTTTAAGTTATCTGTTGATACATACACCTCTATTGTATCTTTGTTGATATATTCAGCTGATGTTTGTTCCTCCACGTTGTTTATTTCCTAATATTAGGACATTCATAGTTACCCCTCCTAATGCTGTATTATTTCTTGCTGTCATTACATCAGTAGCTTAGGCCAGATGCTGTTTTATCCGGTTGTATATAGTGCCCCGCAGGATAAGTTCAGATTGCATACTCTAACCCATTGTTAAAAATTGTATCAAGTAATGAGTTTTCTCTATGCCGCGTATAACTTAGGCAAATTAGATGATCTAAAAAAGTAACATGAATGAAAAAATATTTTTTTTTTATGATCTATATTTACTATAACCGAGCCCGATGCTATGAAAATATATACCTAAAGTTATAAAAAATGTTTTATATTACTAGCATATTTACCGAATTAGAATTTCTTGCTGAATTATGAGATACATCGGTGCCTGGATATATGCAATTCTCGACTATTCTGCTTCAACCAAATACAAGTGTAAAATATAATTTTAAGTATATTTAACATTGAAAATATTTCATGAAGAAATTATACACAAAATTTTTCTTTATTCTTTTCCTGCATCTTATATCAACATGGATATAATCAGATTATTTTGAAAGATTTGGAATCAATGAAGACCTTAAAATAGTCTTTCAACAAACGTTGAGTCAAATAATTATAAAAATGTAAACATAGAGTTTGTAATAACTGGCTGAAAATTAGATAGAACGATAAATCAAAATTCATTTTACACTAACCGCATTGGTGATGGCTAGGGTGTGGTGTGACTTGCAGTCTGAGTAGTCCGGAATCTGCCACCTTCCATGACCAGGTTCCAGCAAGAGACACAGCCTCGTGGCGATTCCGACGTAGCCTGGAGGACACGGGGCAGAGGCCTGAAGTCCTGGAGCCGTCGGGGGCCAAGCCCCGGAACCAGGGCATCTCGAACCTGCCAAGGGGCTGTCCACTACGTCCAGTCGAGAGGCAGCCTGACCAGACCAACTCCCTGCGGCCACCGAGCACGTGTAGGATCCTCCTTTCTGAAAAAAAAAAAAAACATGCAGCTTATTATTAGAATATTCCATAAGGAGCCCGAGGAAAATAAAATACAAAAATTGATTTTAAAGTAAGCGGATGTAGCTTAGATATATTGAAAGTATTTTCAAGTGGGTCAGTGATGTCTATAATCAGTTCTTGTTACGGTGATATATTTTGGGTGCGGTGTGACTCATCGGGCTAACGTGTGTGCAAAACACTCGTTACTCGGCAACATGCTGATAAACTTAAGATTACGGGTTTGAGTAAAGGAACCGGGGACTTTTAACTCTGGCATTAATCCTCCTTGCCCAGAGAAAATTCTGTGTACCAGAAAAAGCGAGTAATGGGAAAAAATGGATCAGCGAATCGTTACGATTGTAAACAACAATTGTGCAATTACTTTCTATACTGTTTACAGTCAGCTAAATCTCCGAACAGCAATCTGTCAATTTTAGCTAATGAGACGATCCTATTTTGACATACAGAGGTGTCAAGAAAAATACATCAGCGTAAGCTCAATTACTAGATAAATTTAGAGAGAAAAAAATATGGTGGGGATTTTTTTTCATTGATTCCTAACTTTGTGTGTAATTGATAAAATCGTTTTCAGTATTTAGTATACAGAATCTTACAGAAGTTTGTAGAAATAAATTCGTTTGTGTAAATAGGGAAAATAGTAAATGAAATTTGATGGAATTGATGAGACACTGCCTACAGTCTACTGCAATCACAATATGAAATGTTTAAGGTCAGTCATTTTTGAGGTAGAAACCGACAAACCACGTCCAATCGTTACTAGGTCTGTTATTATTTTATTTGTAAAAGCATTTTCTGCTTTATAAATAACGCTATTTAGAAAGTATATATTTCACCATATGTGAGAGTACATGTATTTTTTATGAGATATCTTTAATTCAATTTTGTTTTTGTTCCTTTTTGGGATTAAGACCTTGTCAAAGCAAGTCATATTTTGCAAAATTTAATTCAGTTAAATAAATGATACTTTATTTTATATATATATATATATATATATTAAAGTTTATTTATTGAGTATTACAACAATCTGTCTCTTGGACATTGGTTATAGTGACGTAGGGTTACAATCACACTATATATACTAAAAATGTAAAATAAATAGAAGAAAAATAATAATCAAAAGTATATACAATAAATAATAATATAAAATAACCTAAACATATGAAATTTAAAACTAAGCAAAAAAACACATGCATACCTGCATACAATCAGACGATGGACCTCCACGAGAGTCCTGCGCTACTCTCTCAACCGCATTATATTTAAAATCCTTTTAGATTTCTATTCAGAATTGTTATATTCTTAACTCTATACCTCTTCATTTCTCTGAAACATTCCGGTAACTGGGCTTCCTCCTTGACTAGAGACTGACATGGAACCCTCAAAAGACAAGAGCTTAACCGACGATTTGTACAATTATACAGCCTACTGAACAGAAACCCAAATCTTTTCATTGAAAATAAAGTAGTTGTCTATAATACTAAACTAAAACCCATCTGTACGTATGGACTTGAACTGTGGGAGACAGCTAAATCATCGAACATCAAATGTATCCAATCCATTCAATCCAAATCACTTCGAACAATAGCCAACGCTCCATACTACGTCACAAACAAAACCTTACATCACGATCTCAACGTCCCATTTGTTCTTGACGTAATTCCATCCAGATTCATAAACTTCCATTAAAAACTAATCCATCATCCTAATGTCTTAGGACAATCCCGTACCATCTCCAACTATCCATATAATCTCTCACGAAGGTTGAAACGGCAATGGCCCCGAGATATTTTGCAAATATCCTATTAGAGTTCTGGCAGTGGCCATCTTCTCCACTCTAGTTCTGAGTCTATGTGACCTCAGCGTTTTCAATCAGTCTCCACTGACCCTCAAACGGTGATGCGACTGGGAGAGAAGCACTGGGATCTCTTTGAGCCCTGCATTACTTTTCACATGGCAAAGCATGGTTCAGGGTTCCCCAGACTGAATGTAAATATTGTAAATAGGAATTAATGGATGACAAGTAATTTTTTCTCGTTTCTGTTCTTTTAATTTTTACAGTGTACTTTTTTCTCCTTTTTTTTCCTTTTTTTACAAGTATTGTTCTATTTCTTTCAATGTATATATTTTTACTTTTCATTTATTTTTATTTTATTTTATTCTTAGCTTGTATGTTAATTTGTATATAATAATGAATGTAAGCATAGAGCCATAACACCAAACTCCCTTAATTGTGCCAGTTTGTATTGGTAAATAAATCTAAAAAAAAAAATAATAATAAGTTTATAGAAGCCATACAAAAGTTCATGAGTCCCAATTAGTATAAATACACTTCATGATAAAAAAAGGGAGAGCATTAAACCGAAGATGGAAAACATAATTTGCAAAAAACTTAATAAAATACCCACTGAATCTAGAATGCGATCATACTACTCGGTTTTAACATTTTAATCTTGAATTAAAATCAATCAAAATCTTAAAATGTAAAAACCTTCCGGATTAGTAGAAAGGATGTTGAGTGGTTTTCAATAGCATTTCCATTTTCATTCTCTATGTACCTAAGATTTAAGCCTGAACGGTTTGTGCTATTGGAAACTTTTAAGTTCTCATCTCGATTATTACCAATACTGCATTAGTCCACTTCCACAGTCCACTTCCTTTTACATTTACATCCCCAACATTGAATAAGTCAGATTGGTAAGACTATTTGTTTTTCCTCCCTCGGAAGTTTGATAACAATAACTCAAGAAAGTGTAATTATTGATAAGATGATTGTATTCTATACTATACTGGATATATCATATATCCATGATATATACCATATGCCATATATCATAGTAGATAGAAATTCATAAGGCCCATCAAATTGATAAGAAAACAATATTTCTGTGGTTTTTTTCTTGCGATGTCTCTCAGATTAACTTTTTCTGAGCTGTTGAACTTTGAATAAAACTTGGTTCATTCTAACGACTGGAAGCCGAGTTTCAATTTTTTTTTTGCTTAATGATGTAAGCTTTTATGACTTTCTGTCTATAATTATAGGTAACTTATTGTTTTATAGATGTGATAATGAATTATACATAATATTTGTATGTTGTTCAGTTGTGTAACATTTGGCCGAATATCTGCTTAGTTATAACCTTCTTTCAGAATAAAATTTGATACGGTAAAGCCACAAAATTGCTGTGAAATATAATTCTAATAATCAGAGATGGGCACAATCGGAATCAGTGATTACATGATTACAACTGAAAATAATATGACTACTCCAATTTTATACAGTTGTAACCATATCAGCAGGAAGCCGACGACCACAAAAACAAAACAAAAAAAAAAGTAAAATTGAGATAAATAAAATTAATTAAAATAAAACAAAGTTTCATATTCTGTAATACAATCCATTAAAACATATTCGACAATACTGTAACACTAATTAAACAATTGGTAAGTTGTTAAAAGTGGAGATATATTCCATTGTATTATTAAATTTCCGTTTATAAATTGACTTCAAATCTTAAATTTCACTCATTAAAGATTAAATGTTTCAATTTCCTCATCCGATGGATCAATGAAGTAAGTATAAATCATGTAAATTTATACGACAAAAAAAATAATTTTTCCTTTTATTACACCCAGAATAATTAATATTACATTTATATTATCATATTACATGTATAGATTTTATATAACATATATGGATTATACATTGACAGGCAAAAAATTCCACCCACTTGTAAAATAAGTTGAATTTGTATATAATGCATGGTATTTGTAAATAATACTTAGTATTTATGGAATTTTATAATCTTTTATACCTTTAATAATCAAAATTTGATTGGGTAAGAAAGATTAGAGAAAAAAAATTGAAAAACGAACCTTGATTATTCTAAAAGAAATTAATTACATCATCGTTTAGTAGCACGTGTTTCCTCCTCTTGCCTTCACTACTTCTTGAAGACGTCTCAGCATACTTTCTACCAGTCGGGAAATGTCCCTTTGCTGGAAAATAGCCCATTCCTCCCGAAGAGCCCTTTCAAGGTCCTGCAGTGTATCAGGAAGTGTTGCACGCGCTCTTATTCGTCTTCCGAGGTTATCCCATAAATGCTCAATGGGGATCAAATCTGGAGAACGTGCTATCCAGGCTAAATTGCTGTCCTAAATATTGTTCTGTTGAAGAAACGTCTGCACTATGCTGCCGACATGTGGGCGTGCATTGGAATAGAACGATCGCCGATTTCGTTGAGGATAGGCCGTCAAAGACCCTGCACGAACAACAACCAATTCTGTGCAGCGCTCCATTGAAATCCCAGCCCACACCATTAAGGAACCACGTTGGAAAGGATGGCTCTGGGAAAAATTACAGGCTGCATATCTTTCGTTTCTTCTTCTCCACACCCTTTCACGCCCGTCTGGAGATCGAAGAGCGAATCTTGACTCATCTGTAAAACGTACAGCACTCCATTCGTCCATAGTCCAATGGCTGTGTTCTCGATTAAAAGCCGTGTGACTCTGTGAGTTCTGGTCCTCTTTATGGACGAAAAGCCATTAATCCATACTCATTTAATCTTCTCCGAGCGGTTCAGAAATTTGAACACCTCGAACTTCTTCGAGCCGATGAATCGCTTGAACAACGGTAAGATGCCGGTTTCGTAAAATTCTCAAAGTAAAAAACCGGTCATCCCGTGGTTCTGTTACAATAGGCCGTCCAGAACCGGGCCTTCTATTGTAAGAACCAGTTTCCCGAAAACACCTGACGGCGTCTCGTTAAGTTTCATATGGAACCCCGATGGTATTAGATGCATATCTAACGGAACGTACATCATCAATAAGTGCCACACCACGCGCAACATCCTCAGAACTAAGAGGCATTTTTAAACTTAATATTGAAAAATAGGCTCTGAACTAATGATACTGAATAAACATTTTGGTTCCATAGAAAGTAAACATTGGAATCTGGAATCATTTAATTGAATTAAGGATTAAGGGTTATTGTCCTCTATATTAACATTCCTAATTGAAAACAAACAAAAAGATTACCTATTTATTCATTAAAAACAATAGACCAATCCAAAGCAGAAATATTTTTAGATGAAAACATGAAAAAATCAAGTGGGTAGAATTTATTTTCCCTGCCAGTGTATATAACTTAGATACTCATATAAATTATATATATAAATTATATATATATATATATATATATATATATATATATATATATATATATATACATATATAAAACATAGATAGATTATAAAATATATAGATGATATATAACAATTATCATATTACATATATAGTTTACAAAAACGTAGATTGAAGGAAATATATACATATTTTTCAATAGGAGCGTATGCAAGATTGATAAAAAAAATCTCATGCCTTTCTCCAAAAAGGAAAAATCTTTGTGATAAGTCATACTAAAGATTGTCCGTATTCATACAAATATTTTTAAAATGTACAATAGAAAATAAAGCATTGTTACATAATACACCAGCGTTTGATTGATTTGTTAATAGAGAATCCAATGGTAATAGTCCGGGATTTACCGAAGACTTAACCACATGATCACAGGCAGAAGTTTTGAAAATTGAAAACAGTAGAGATGACAAACTTAATTACAAAAACCCTCGAGCCAGACGGGTAACTAGAAGCGTTTGGCTATGCTAGAATTTCAAAAATCGCAGCAGAAAAAAAATCTGGTGCGCGCAGCACACAACTTTCACTTACCGCTCAACTTTGAATAGAAATTATTTCCTGGTCATGTTGGGCTATTATAAAATTTTTGAATAGCATTTTTAACTGAACTAAAGCTTAAAAATTGCAGCCAACAAATCATAAATACCATTAAAATAACAAAAGTATTATTTATTATATCACCGGTTGATTATGGATTGTACCATTCGTTGATAATGGATCATACGATTATTAGTTATCAAACAGTTATTTTCCATTGCAAAGTTTACTAAAACGGAATTAAGAGATTTGCATTGTCTGTCATAGACAGGTCAAAGGTGTCACACTAATTGTAAGTGGGTACTGTTGGAATATCACATAAGGAAATTTGATCAAACTATTCACTAATTTAATTTTATAAAAGGTTACATGATGATTTTTCGGAATAAACGGATGATAGATACCTAAATATTTAAATATAATATCAGAACTAGAGTTATTAAAATACATTAAATATATTTAAGGTTATAAACATATCTATGAAATATTTTTATATTTCACTTCTTGTTTCACACAAGTACAATGTAATAGGTTTTTAAACAATGTCATTGCCATGATTAGGTTGGTTTTGAATACTTTTTTCAAACTTATAAAATATTTTTAAAGTTAACATTTAGTATGTAATTTCATTTAATTTCCTTGAAAACAAGTGATTTATGTTAAATCGTATAAGTTTTCATAAATTATTACTTATAATTTTTTTGCCATTCTCCGTTACCTTCTACAACTTTCTATATTAAATATTGTTTTTCTAAAACAAAAATAAAAAGTTTTAAAGTTTACATTTAGTTTAAATAATTTTAGTTTTCACGAATTATTATTTATAATTTTTCGTCTCTCTCCAATACTTTTTACGGTATTAGATATGGTTTTTTCTAAACTTCTTCTGTTTCCAATGATGTATTATACATAAACATTCTTACTATTATTTCCGGAGATTCATTTTCGTCCTGGTTAAGCATTTTTATTTTTTTCTCCTGAATTCAATTACCATATTCTTTCAAAAGTTATATTTAGTATTTTTTCTTAACTCTGAATAATTTGAGATGATTAAATCTTTCAAATAAATCATATTAAAGGTACTTTAGAGGAAGATGTATATGGTCATTGGGCATTTAGCCCTATAAAGTGTCATAAATGGGGATAAGACCTGATTGATATTAAATATCACTTAATTATACAATGGTACACGGAGTTTAATCAAAATAGTTAGAGCCGTTTTTGAGAAAACTGTAAAAATGTGTTTTAGCGTGGATATAAAGTGGCACTTCAAGTTAGCCGATTTTTAAGTAAAAGTTGCTGTCACATCTAAGGCATATAGCTATACTTACGTATTTAAGTAATATCAGTTTCGTACGACTTTTCGTTTTTGAACTAGATTGCTAACATACACACACACAGACGCACAGACCATTTTTCGGGAATTGGTTATTTGGACTCAGGGTACACGAAAACGTGTATTAGCGTTGAAAACTCATTTCCACGATCGCAATAATTACCCTTACTATACATTACATATATACGTAAGTGAAAGTAAAAACTACTGAAATAGTTTCAGATAACTCACTAGATGAAAGATTTAATAAAGTCAGACAAAATTTCAGAAGGTTTATACGAACGTTACAGCTTTAAAAATCTGTCTATTAGATTCATGAAAAATGTTGGTCAATCTGATATACAAAATCACATAAATAAATTCAGCGAACGAGAAAGAAATTGCTAAAATCTCGGCAAAGAAAATATGGACCAGTATCCATTCATTATATGACTAAATGAATATATAGTGGACAGATGGACAGGATATTTCAAGGAGCTGCTAAAAGGGGATTAAATGTTGGGGCAGTTTGGATGACATTAAGGGGACCATTTTGTGCAAGGGGGGACCAAGAGGGGCAGTTTTGTGAAGACCATTTTATCAGCAAGAAATATTTTTTCTTGCCACATAATCTCAACAGTGAACAAACAACTAACTCAAGTCAAAGTCGTCATTCCGTCATTTTTGGACGCCATTTTGTGGTAGTGCGTTCACTTTTTTCGTGGGAAAATTGGCTTTTCTTAATAAATAGTTACAAGGAATACAACGATATGGAATTAATTTATAGGGATTTGGAGGGAGGATGAGATCACACGCTAGTGGGTCTGGCTCACCGTATAATACTTAGTGTTGCCCAAATGCGAGACCAAGACGAGTATTAGTCTTGGGCACTCTTGGTCGTGGTCTTCTTCTTGCGCAAGAGTCTCGCAACAGTCTTGCAGTTACCTATTAGATTATTACTATAAAGATAATACTGTAACTAAGTCCGAATGAAAAATTAGAACCTTTACCAACCTTGGACTTGGTCTTGCAACAGTAAACCGATCTTGGTCTTGGTCTTGCAATTTGCAATTTTGGGCAACACTAGTAATACTGATAAGTTGTAACAACCTTGCTCTTAAATTTCTAGATCAGATTTGCTAAAAATGTTTAAGTGATACTTTTCGAAAATGTTTTTTAATTTGAGAAAAATTTAGTTTATTTTTTAAGAAGAAAAAAGGTAAAAATAATAAGTCATCATTTATTGTTTATTTATTTATTTATTATCATCCGTGTTGAGGAAGAAGTTACATTATCCAAACTTGCTTTTTTCTTTTTTTTTCTTGAGATTTGTTCACATAAGATCATTATACAATTTCTTTTCTTCTTTGTAGATGAATTTTTTTCTTTCTCCAGTATTCTCCATAAGGAAGCGGTGCTACTTATCCGTCCATACGTCAGGCTCTTCCAGTCCTCGCAGTTCATTTGACTTGAAACCTATCCAAACCTTGAATCACGGCCTAAAAAGTATGTCTTTTTGTTTGTTTTTTTGTTCTTCCCTTCTCGCCTTTTAGGCTATACGGGATTTTCCCGGGCTAGGGGGTGAGGGCAGGGAATTTAAAATCTCCTCCGGCACCAGGACGTGAACTCGTACTTTTTAAATCATCTCAAATCTGTGTTATCCGGTTGCCAGGCAACTAGCGGTGCTGTGCACACGCTTAACCAAATTCGGCCCCTAAAAAAAGTATGCCTATCTAACATCTGTACCTTCTAGATATTGGAACTTTCTAAGTCTTTGTGACATCTTTTTTTTCCCCAGTTAGTTGAATATACTTTTGGTTAATCTGGTATTGTCTATTATGTGAAAAGCCTCCAAGAAACGATAACGTCCTCTTTCTCATGATTTCCGAAATTTTCTACAAATTTTCGTATGCCTCATCGTTTTTCCGAAGTTTAATTAGATCCTACATTATTTTATATTTTTTCAT